CAAAATCTGGTGGATGGCGATGGAGTTTAGCTTCAGGGGTAAGCTGATTTGTGTAAATGAATGTCAGCGCAGTAAACATGAATGCTACAAAAAAAATTAAAGAAAAAATGCACAGAAATCTATTTCTTGCACAGGAATCCACCAACATCTAAGGTACTTCCATCCGTCTAGTGGATGACAACAGATGTGGTTTCTCTGTCCACAAGAACCTGGTGGAGGTTTGCTGAATTCCAGTGGATGGCACCACCTGTGGCAGTGACACTGGGGGCAGCCACATGGAACAAAGCCTGCCTTTATCTGATCAAAGAATACCCAGAAGGGGCATTTCCACCTGCACCCAACATGCCTGTAACACATGTTGGAGTGAATGCACTGGCCCAGTGTGAGGGCGTATTTGCCTATCTCTATCGATTTGGCGTATGTAGATCGGGGCAGGAACGAGGGCGCATTGGATGTGCGAGCGGGCGACGTTTGTGCACGAGGACGGGAACGTAGGAGCACGCAGGGAGCATGCAAGGGAGGGTGTACGATACAGATGATGAATACTGAAGCCCGGCCTGGGCGGTTGACGAAGAACTACGAAGCGTACGAGTCTCTGACTCGGATATTCAAATGACCTCAAACACGGAGTCGTATGACTCGAGTCTGACTCAAGACTGACTCAGCAGTTGTGGGACGGCCAATCAGGATAGAGGAAATGGCTAATATCAGCCCGACAGGATGGGAAGCTATCCGAGAGTAGAGTAATAACTGTGATGTAAGGAGTTTTCATAGTAGTATAAAGGGAGGGCCAGAGAGCTGGGATCGGGAGCGAATTGTGCTGAGGCTCTGCGGACGCGAGTTTCAGTGCAGTTATAGTTGCTCAGAGTCCCAGAGTTACGTTTGTACTCTTGAATTCTATATAAATACCATTGGATTGGATTGGATTGGATCTAAAGTTGTGATTAAGACACTGAACGGCTTGATTGAGACACTGAATTGGACATTGTATCGAATTGGGACTGCAAAGAACCTAGAAACTGTGTTTAGAGGTGTGTTTGACTTGTGCTTGAACTGTGGAGTGATCAGAGACCCAAACTGCCTAATCTCGACTAGGTCAACTTCATCTTAATTGGCATAAATCCGCCGGTTCTTCGAAACCGTTACTTGAATATTGTCCATACAACCACCATCAAGCAATTCGATTGACCCGAGAGAACCCAGCGCTTCACAAAGCCTTGAAATCGTTCAAAACGAACTATCCCACTCGTCTTAGAGTCTGAGTTGTCCAGTGACCTAATACTTGGTCTATTTCCCTGAACAACCACACACCTTGTCCACTCATAAAGAGGAGGAGGAGTTGTTGGATTTGTGATATATTGGTTGTTTTGTGTTAGATTCATCCTTGCACTTTGCGCCAGTCTAGCATTTAGATCTTCCACCCACACCTTGAGTTAGGCAAAGTGTTTCATCTAGAGCCCACCGCGAGGGGAATCTGGAGAACTCTTCACACAAGTGAATAGTTTAGATTTCAACAATTGTTGAAGTGGAAAGGGACTAAGGTTCCTAATCTCGGATACAACAGTCTCCAAAAAAAAACTTGTTCGTAGCGAAGGCTTGAGTTTTCTCTGAAAGCTTAAGCAGCCGGCTCCCACCACGCCTCCAAGAGGGCGAAGTGATAGCAACCACTCTTCTTCATCGGAAGGAGAATACACAGGAGAAGGCTCTCATCAGTCCTCTTCCTGGGCGAAACCTGCACGTCCTCGGTCAACGGCCAACTCCAGTCGTGCATTAGTGCCGCCCTTGGAATTTCCCAACCGAAGGAAACAACCAAGCCCAGCTGATAAAGCTAGGGCTGAAGTTCAAGGACAAGTCCGCAAACAACAAAGCTCCTACAGAGAGCTACAGGCAGAAATTGCTGCCCAGCGAGCCCGAATCGAGGCTAGCAACCCCACAACAGAGCGTCCACGTTCTGTTAGTCCCATTCCTTCCGAGGAACCTCCAGTTGAACCATCAGTTTCAACTCGCCCTCAGAGCCCACCAGCTCAAACCAACCAAACAGTAACAGTTGTTCAGTCTTCAATGGTTACAATGTCCAACACATTTAAAGTTCCCTCTCCATGGGATTCGAAAAACTGCCCGACTTTCGATGGAAAGACGGCAGAAAGTCTCATGAAATATATCAAGCATTGCCATGTGATTATTGAAGAGAGCGGAACCACAGATGATGATAAAAAGAAAGCCATTATGTTGAAATATGCGAGCAGAGTAACCCAGGAGGAATGGGAGGGTCTCTCTCAGTATGCCTCAGGCAAATTCGATGACTGGCTGGCTGAGATAGAGTCCCTCTTCCCCGAGATTAGGACGGTTAAAATTGGGTCCTTGATCCGACTGACTGAGATCGCAGAAGAGTATAAAGGGCTCAAGAAGACTGATCAAGGAAAGATCAAGCGCTATGGGGTGGCTTTTAAAAACGAGGCTGTCAAGCTTGTTAAGCCCCCTTCACTGGTTACCAACCCCACTCTGGTTGATAAATACCTGACGGCATTTGAGCCCAACTTCACGGCTGAGATAGAAACTATGATTGCCCAGACTATGTACTGGAAGCCCACCCCAACAGTAGCGACCGATGTGGAGCAGCCAGAAGAAACCATTCTGTTGGCAGACTTGTTGGTCTTGATTGAGAAGTTGACTAAGGTCAATACTTTGAGAAACCCAACCATGGTGAACTTGACGGCCAGCAAGGAAGAAACTCTTGCCGGGTCCAGTGCCATGTCAGTCGGATCTTCCATAGTTTCAGAAAATGAAGGTGGAAGTCTCCGACCGCTTGGACGCCTTCGCGGGTGAAATTGCCAATGTCAAAGATAGTTTGAAGCTATCCGAGGATAGGGCAAAGGCCAATCTAGAGAAGTCCTTGTCAAAGCTCAAGGCTTCTTTTAAAGTTTCGCTCAACCAGGCCATTAGAGGACCTGCTCCTCACCAGGAAACTGCAATCCCGGGGCAGGTTTCAAATAAAGAAGTACCGGAGAAAACTTATTCATTTAAGTCTGGAGGGGCGACCGACCGAGGGATGGAGTGTTACTACTGCTACCTCACGGGCCACATGGTCAGAGACTGTCTGTACAAGAAAGAGGACATCGACAGAGGGCAAGTTCTCATTGAGAACAATAGGATGAAACTCGGGGATGGAACTCCCTTCCCCAAGTGGCCGGAGAACAGAAGTCAGAAACAGAGGGTCGATGACTACTACAGTCAGCTGGCTCATAATGCATAAGGTGGTAATGCATAATGCTCATAATGCATTGGATCTGAGATCCACCAAACTGCCCATTCACGCTGTAGAAGTGTGTTCATAATGCATAATTCTCATAATGCATCAGATTTTGGTGAATTTTGAGGGAACGGACCCTATGCATTATGAGCCAGCTGGCTGTATGCCAATAAGACGGTAGCCGGCGCCCCCATGGTTCTTACCCAGTCCTATGAGCATCCGACACCGGAGACTCGTGTGTCCCAATACCAGGCAGGCATCATAGATGACCTGCGGAGTGCTTATGACTGCAGGGATGATGAGGCCCGTACTGTCTGTGTACAAAAGTACATCAGGGAGCATACTGGAGGAAGCAACCACCCGGTAGCTACCTACCAAGTCTCCTTGTACCAGGATAATGCCTGCCAGTGGGGGAACAGTGCAGACCTATGCCCCGGTTCAGCGGCCTGTTTCTGCGCCTGTGCAGCAACCGAACTATGCACCGGCACAACCAATATATGCTCCGGTACAATTGCCGCTACCAGGGGAGTGCGGGCGGGTGTCATGGATGTGCGAACGCCCGGGCGCACATACTGCATGTGCACGAGAACGACAGGGAGGGCGCCGCGGATAAAATGAATCGTGTCCTGCTAAAATGTATCAGTCGATTCTGCACAGCACATGGATTGAATGGAGGGAGCACGTCCATCGGACAGCCGGGCTCATGTGTCGCTCCACAAAACGCGGTCCCCTGCCCTCTCGCCATCGCGTCGCCTTCCGAATTCGTCGGAGGGGGTTGCATGCGAGGGGTAACCGCAACACCGTTCGCATGCGGGGTGGAAAAAACGAGGAGTGAGCGTCAGATACATGGTGAATCGAGAGAAGAAACGGATGTGCGCCCCTCTGCTACAGCCATCTGGCGTACCTCCTCCTCGGGCTCCTCTTTCCTGCGCATCGGCGAGTCTGCACAATTGGACGCGGAGCCCAACTCACCGAACCACTCGTGCGCTTGCCGTCAATGCCTGCTGGCCCCTTGCGCCGTATGCATTGGTATTGGCATTCGCATATGCGTAGCGTGCACCACTCTGCGCAGACATGTAGTGCTTGGGGAGCGCTGGGCGGCGGTGCGAAGAGGAGCGCGAGCCGGCCAGGGAGGAGTACCGCCTGTGTCTGGGTTTCAGGTTAAACTCCTCCCACTCTTGCTCGGTGTGAATTCGAGGTAATTAGGAGTGTTCCTTGGGTATTCTGGATCCAATCCTCCATTTGCAGAGGAACATTCAAGACTGGTTTCTGGTCGGTCGTGTGTTGAGACCTTTATTTGAGGAATCCCAGCGCTCATCAGTCAACCTGAGTCCAAGTTCGTTCATATATGCTAATTGAACTCCCCGCAAATGCCGCGAAGGATGTAAAACATCTTATTTGAGCCGCACCCCAGACGATGCTTGGAGCAGTTCTAGGTTCATCCCAAACAAGCCATTATTTTTTTTCCGGCCTGGCGGCCGGACCTACCTACCAGCCCGGCTTGACCGGCCTACATCCCCTTAGATTGTTCAACGATTAAAATATTCACAAGCCCGCCCGAGAGATTCAAGACCGAATTCATAGTAAAAAAATCTCAAAACTTCCTATGATTCACTGCATTCAGCCGATCCCTCGCCCAGAAAGCCGGTGAGTTCTGCTGAGGTACCAGAGACGGCCTTGTCACAAGATCAGGCTGTGTACACCTCACCGCGGCTTGCCGGCACCTCGACGAGGGACTGGCTGAACACAATGACTTAGCCTGGGTTCGAACCAGGAACTCCCTCGAGTATTGCCGGTGGAAGATCTTCAACAAGTGGGGGCACAATTCATTTCGCCACTAGGCCTTCCTCCGACTAAAAATCTGCTCTCACAGGTGCAGGGCAGGGGGAAAGTGCAGCTGTGCCTGCCACAGCAAATTTGAAATTGCCACAGAGTGCCGCAGACATGTCACGCATTTTTCACTTTGCCACAGGTTGACACAGAAGGACTCAGAGTGCTGCAGCGTTCCAAGGCATACAGATTCCACTGTCGAGTTTTCAAACCATTTAATGGACCAATTGTAAACAAATTTCAGAATTGGTCGGTGGTCCTTGAATAATGTTTCTTTTCTTTTCTTTTTTTTTTTTTGAGGTATGACCGCCGGCAACTGATAATTGATCAGCCCCTTTGGCCCACAAAGCACGGGGGCATATGACCCCCTCCAAAGGTAGGAATGCTTTTATGCACGAATGGCAAGTGCCGAACAGTGTGGGACTCAGCCAATTAAGGCAATACCCACTAAACCGCCCAAAAGATGGCTTCACTGAGGATTGAACCCTTGATCTTCAAGGCTCAGGGTCTCCAATTTACTCAGACACCAGGAAACATGGTTACCGTTACACCAGAGGTCCCCCCTTGAAGAATGTTTCAACTCCCCCTTAATGATGCCTCTTGCTGCTCATGAAGTGTCTTTTGTACAAAGACCATCAACACTTGAATTATTTCCAGGGATTGGCAACTTCATTTTCCTGGGAAATAAAGAGAATGCAGGGCTATCGGAACCTGAATCACTTTTTTTAATCCAATACATCTCGGCCCTCCACTTATAGTTCACCGTTCATCGCACTGGTGAGTGTGCAACAAGCGCATGGTGTAATAGAATTCGGATCAGCTTGGTTCATCCAATGGTGTTCCGGACACGGGTCAACAGTGTGTGTTCACGCGAAACTGAGAACCCTCACATTAAAGCCTCCCTCAACGTCAAAACGGGGTTCATAGTAATTTCATGGCCATATTATAGGAGTACAGTGGTACAGGAATACATTGAGGTCAGCAAGCCACTACAGTCAGCTGGCTCATAATGCATAGGGTCCGTTCCCTCAAAATTCACCAAAATCTGATGCATTATGAGAATTATGCATTATGAACACACTTCTACAGCGTGAATGGGCAGTTTGGTGGATCTCAGATCCAATGCATTACGAGCATTATGTATTACCACCTTATGCATTATGAGCCAGCCGACTGTACTTCAGTGTTCAATTGACTCCATCAGAGCTCATTCTTTCAGCGTTGCCGATCAATGTCCACTTTGACCGGTGAAATATCAGAAACAAATGTCACTGACATCAAGTGTAGACTCAGAGAATGCTATACTGAGGCTAGGAATTACAGGAGAGACCGCCAGGGACATGTAATATGGTCAAGCCAACAATTTTATTTGGGTGATGCCAAGCCGGCTGAATGGCTTGCAAGTCGTTCTGCCGGGCTTGGGCTTGGGCTGCCACCAAAATCCAAGTCCAAGTCGAAACCAGCCACTCCACGCAGGCACAAGCCATTCGGCCAAGCCAAAAATGTCACTCTCGATTTTAGCCGGCCGATGTTGTTGAGGAGAAGTTTAAAACAGCGAAAGCACATGTACAAGCAGTACCAACTGACTAGACTGAATTTATTCAATGGATGGACGGCGCAAGTCCGTTCGCATTACTACTGAAATGTTGACTCATGGCCTTGCAATACTCGGGTGAGCGGACACGGAAGCCAATGTTCAGGCCATTAAACTGAATACGATATGCTCCTCCCACATTGATCTACTCGGTCAAGTACCAAGGACGAGAAAGAAACCCTTCGGCCTATGCCCCGACCTGGACTCGACCCAGGATCTGCCTCAAGAATTGCACACCTTGAGAGTACGATGCCTGCCGCCCTGCGGGGTAATTGCCTACATTCTTAGTGCACTTTGATCAGAGTTCTTGCTATACACACCGTGAGTGCTCAGCTCAACCCAGGATGTATGGAATTGCAATATTAATACCGCAGCCCACTCCAAGGCACCGCTTACGATGTCTGCCCGCGCGCTGAAAACACCAAAGGTATCCCATTGATAATTGTCCTCAGTGAAATTAGACAGCTGAGGTAGCGGACGGTCCTACCTTTCGTGTAATGACACATGAACAGCAGATTGGCCCATTCGACTCGCCTCTGGGCATACTCGGGAGGAATTGATTTTTATTACCCGGATTCAGCATCTCGAAGCCGAGCCAAAAATAGTGTTCATGACCATCGAAGCAAGCCGGAGAGGAAGAATGACCAGGTAGCACTCGGAGGGTCCGCATCTGCAGCTCACTGACAGTTGCGTTGCTCTATGAAGGTATAGTCGAAGCACTCCCTCGACTCGAGGCCGGGTCATTGCGCAGCTTTTGGTCCTGTACCTCCGGCCTTGCCTATTCCCAATATTTGGGTCCAGAAGCATTCGAAGAGCAGCCGACGCAGTCTCTGACTTTGGTCTGACTGAAAGCGATGGCACTCTTCCTACTTCCCGCATGTGCGGCATATCTATAAACCCAAAATGGGTGGCCGAAATGGTCTATGGATTAGATAAATTATCGGAAAATAATGAATGCGTTTACCCTGCCCCTGCTAGCTCTAGTCATGCCAAATGTGCTAGAAACAGCCATGAATCAAGAACCTTTACCAGTACCACAGAATTTATTCATGTACACTCACCACAGCTGTGCATTGAATTATAACGAGTCCCTGATCTTCTCATACAGTAGTTGGAATCCAGGAGAATGTGTGGAGGTTGCCCATAGAACACAGCCTCCGGTTTGACTTAAACGGAGCCACTCGGATTCTCCTTCTGAGGGGAATCATCTACTTCGGTAATTCCCACTTCACAGCAAGAATTATAGGATTGGATCGGCGGGTATGGTTCCATGATCGAATCGAAACCGGTCGAGGCTGCATTGAGGAACAGTACTTGGATAACCATCCAGGTGATTTTCTCCAGTCTTGCAGGGGGAGGTCCCTGTAACACTTGTGTATGTGAAGGCATAGTTCATCGATATCTTGTAAATAGGGTGTAAAATATGTAGTATGGTTACAAAACATGATTGTTCGGTCGAGAATTAGGTTCAACAGGCAGTTTGGAAAAGCTCAACTTGTTGGCCGGTGCCTGGATGTGTCAAGAACTTTCCCGTTCTCTCCCCTAACAGTCCTCGTACATGCCATGCAACGCAATGGCCCCACAGACCAAGTGGGTCTGATAATCTATGAAGTGCGCCACATGAGATCTGTTTTTCATGCTGATATCGAGCTTGCTGTTGTGCATGATGAGCGGTAGGCTCGTAACCAGCCTCTGCGTAGAGTAACAATATGCGCAGTAGTTTGCATTTTATTTGAGGTGGATCTGATAAAAATTGAGGGAGAAAAAAAAATGGTGTCGGGGTTACTCGAACGCAGAGGCTGGGAGAACTTAGTACAGAAATAGGTCAATAGAAATCACGTGACAATTCAATCTGACTTAGTGCAATTTTCGAGTTTGCACGAAATCTGAATCTCGCCCACTGTAGATCTGAGTCATACAAAAGTTATGGACCTATTTTCTAAGCCTTTGGGTACTGTTTAAATGGCACAGAATGCTGTATTCATGGTGCACTGAATATAACAGTCAGAGTTTGATGTTGGGATGCATAGCTCCCATACATGAGAATTGAATTAATGGTCAATATTTAGGGTCTTAAATAGTATCCTATACACTCTTTGAAGAGTCTCAAAGGCCGGAATCATAAGTTCGGCAGCCTAAATAGAGCCTAGGTAATATATGAAGTCAGTGAAAGTATGTTCATTCTTTGTATCAGCTAGGCAGAGAATAATATGTATCAAGTGATCCAAAGGAGTATTGACCTTTTATAATTTGAGAGAACATTGCTCTGAGAGGCTGGCCGTATGTAGGGAGGGAGGCATTGAGGAATTGAACAGAGAGGTCAAAAGTGATGGGTGGCTGTGAAGCCCGGTCCGTGCTGCCCCAATCCCGGACAATTCTGTTTATTGTGCAATGAAAACAATGTTACAGGGTCCAATACATTGAGAGTACAGTTATTGTAAGTGTAGACAACTTTTGCATGACTTGGAATTGCATTTGAAGACATTTGAAAATTCCACAATTCGAAAATTGCACCAAGTCAGATTGAATCATCACATGATTTCTATTGACCTATTTCCGTACTAAGCTCTCCCAGTCCCTACGTTCGAGTAACCCTGGACCCATTTTTTTTTCTTCCCCAATTTTTATCCAATTGACTTCAAATAACTTACAAACTACTAACTCTTACTGTGACTCAACGTAGGGCTGGTTACGAGTCTAGATGAGCGGTGAACAGGGAGCAGCGTGCTTGATGGATGCTAGATATTGAAGGTGCCGAAACCCGATTTCGCTTGATTTCGCTGAGCGAGCAGAGTCGATTCCATCACGCTTTATCACGCTTCCGTGTGAAAGCTGAATCGAAATTGAGGTCGAAATCAGCGAAATCAGGCCACTGTGATAGACCCTACTAGTGTTCATGGAATCGAAGCCAAATTGAAATATATTGAGCTTAAGTGGTGAACACTGGGATCTCGGCTGTTGCTTTTTGTGCATTGTCGATACTTAGAATCCCGTCAACTCTTTGCCCATTCCCTAATGCTGCTCGAATTTCAACCTATTCGAAGATCAAGAGAGAGCAGTGGTCATTTGTTTCTGTCCATCATGGGGGACAGCTCTATGTACAGGGGCTTGTTGGATTGTTAGAAATCTTGATTCCGGATGATTACAAACTGAATTCTGACAGTCTGTTCCGGCTCTTGAGATATAAATTTACTGATATCATTCCAACTGCCATCGTGAGTTTGTTGCTGGTGTACATTGCAGCTGTCGGTCCATCGAGGGGACACAGAGTGGACTTTGGGCTCCAGGTGAGTCTCTGCCTCGATCATGGCAGACGATCCAAGATCAGGTGAGAGGAGACATCAGGTTACATTGTTAGCGGAGTTGAAATAGAGAGTCAGAGTCGTTGTCAGGGAAACAAAACCCACGAACAACCATTGA